TTGACCCACCCTGTACACGAGTTATAACTGTGAAAATATCTTTTATTTATTATGAAGAAATGTAGAAAATTGTTAGGAGACATTTTTCTCGTGGCTAAAATGCCGGCAGACAAGGCGAAAGAGGCATGAAATTCTGAAAAAAAAGTCATCGTATGCATGCATGCCGATTGGAGGAATGACATATTTATTTATTTAAAAAGTCGTATGCAAAACGACAGACAGAAAAATCGTGGCTAAATCAGCGGCAGACAGTTATCAAAAGCGCAATATTACTCTACAGGGTGAGTCTTAAATAAGTGCACATATTTTCAGTGCTGGTATCTTGATAAAGAAACATATTATTTTCTCCGCCCTTTTGCATACGGGTTTTATTTAAAAAGTCGTATTATTATTGATTTAAATAAACATGACATTTTCCTCCCCGCTATCTGCCGGCTTTTTAGACATGAGAAAATTGTCTTCCAACAATTTTCAACGTTTCTTAATAATAAATAATAGCTATTTTGGCAATTATAACTCGTGTACCTTACAATATTTTTAGTGTCAAAATTGCACCTTTTCGATTGGCCGCCCTCGCTTTAAGCCCCGGGATCGCGTTGGCAGATAAGATATTCAGTATACAGGGTGAGTCGTAAATAAGTGCACATATTTTAGGGGTCGTATTATTTCAATTTCGGGAACACGCCTATGAGTTTTTCGCGAAAAAAAATGTTTAAAATTTTGTATTTTTTGGGGAAAAATTTTGGAATTTGCATATACTATATTGATAAAATATTTATGATAACATAACTAGCCAATTAAATTTAGAAGAACGAAAAGCCAGAAAAAAATACAGTGGTTCTGAAAATTAAAGCAAAAAAAAACATTTTTTTAATTTTCAAAGTAAAATATCTCAGCTATTTTGGCCTTATTTGATAACATAAATCTGTGTGTAGCATTAGCAATTAGGTCATTAAAAAAAGAGAAAATATGCTTCTTTAAACGGGATTTACCAACCCTGAAAATATGCGCACTTATTTAATTTACATACATACATATACATACAGCCGTTACTCGCTGACGAGTATACGACACACATAAAGAAGATGGTCACGCAAGGCATTTTCTTTCATGAGCTTTTCTGTGACTGAAAAGCCCGATACGTGATGTTATCTGCCTACCGCACTCCGGTCATTCAAAAATCTCACAGCTTTGTTGCCTCTTTACTCTTTGGTTGCCGCTGTTAACTGAGTTTACAACTCTTCTCCATTGAGTTCTATTGTGAGCTGCTTTTTCCCACTCATTCTGCATATTAATTCCCTTTAAGTTTTCGTGGAAAATGTCCTTGTACCTTTTCAGTTGTCCACCCGGCCTCCTCTTACCGTCTACAAGCTCACCGTAAAGCAGAGATTTTGGTATGCGGTCTTCTTGCATTCTGCATACGTGACCAGCCCATCTTAAGCGGGATTTTGTGACCACGACTTCAATACTCTCGCAGTTAGCTTTTTCAAGGACCGATACGTTTGAGACATGATTGAACCACCGGACTTTTAAGAGTTGTCTAAGGTGTCTCTGTTGCTGAACTTGTTTAATGCGTTCATGTGTCGGCGGTACGGCACCCATGTTTCGCTCCCATATAACATGGTGGGGATTATAATTGCTCGGTACACTGCAAGTTTTGTTTTTGTACTCAAGTCATGATTGTAGAAAACCCCGTCTTTTAATTTCCAGAATGCTCTTGAGGCTCTACTAATCCTGTGCTGAATTTCAGAGTCAATATTGGCCTTTTCCGAAATCAAACTGCCAAGGTAATTGAATTCCGCCACATATTCCAATAGTTTTTCTCCGATTTTTATAGCATTGTTGTGATCTTCCGGGGGAGTGCACATGATTTTAGTTTTGTCGATGTTTAGCTTAAGGCCCAAAGCCTCGTATGCCCAGGTATATGTGTTTAACATTTCTTGTAATTGCTGTACCGTGTTTGCAACTAGAGCGCAATCGTCAGCGTATTGAAGTTCTGTGATAAATTTTGTACGTGCTTTTGCCCTGAGTCTTTTTATGTTGAACAGACCGCCGTCATATCGGTATCTAATGCCCAATCCTCTCTCCTGCAGTTTGCTGTCCACTATAATGGAGAGCGCTGCCATGAATATGTTGAATAGGAGAGGCGCTAAAACACATCCTTGCCTAACTCCTGTATTTGTTAGGAATGGGTCGCTTAGTGATCCATGATGTGACACTCTTGACTTGTTGTTGTTATGGAGGCTTTTACACACTGTAAGAAATTTATTGGGTACTCCGAACTTTTTCATAATTGCCCAAAGCGCATCTCTGTTCACAGTGAGTTCTGAGTCTTTTGTTAGATCGATGAATGCAACATAAAGTTTAGACTGCTGCTCTTTTACTTTTTCCTGTAGTTGACGGATGGAAAATATGGAATCGACGGTGCCGCGGTTGGTACGAAAACCCGTTTGCGATTCTGGAAGGATTTTTTCTATATATAGGTGCAGGCGGTTTGACATTATTTTTGCAAGAATTTTTCCGCCGATAGCGAAATTCCCCGGTAATTTCCGCAATGTGATGCACTTCCTTTGTTCTTAAATATATTCACTATATTCGCGTTGCGAAAGTCCTGAGGTACCTCTCCGCTTTCCCATACGACATCGAAGAGAGCCTTAAGATGACCAATAAGTTCTTTACTTGCACACTTATAGATTTCTGCCGGAATCGCGTCACAGCCAGCTGTTTTGTTGTTTTTAAGTTGTTTTATGGAGGTCTTTATTTCCTGTTCTGTTATTGGGATGTCTAATACATCGAGGCTGTTATACTGAGGTATTGTGTTTAGTGCTTCCATATTGGGGTTGTTTTCTTGGTTAAGGATATGGCTGTAATGTTCTTTCCAGCGATTTCTGATTTGTTCTTCCTCTTTTAGAAGTTCGCCATTTTGTGCCATGAGTGGGCAGCTTACCTTCTTAGTTGGACCGTATACTTCTTTTACAGCCTCGAAGAATTTACGATGACCATGATGCGTGGCGTACTCTTGAATCTGATTCGCTTTTTGTGACCACCAGTTATCCTTTACTTGGCGCAGTTCTCTTCGAAGCGTGTTGTTGGCTGCTTTGAAGTTGTCTACCAGTCTTGGATTATGTGGATTTGCAGTGACTGCTTGATGTGCTCTATGCTTTTGTTCCAACAAAGCCTGTATAATATGTGGTTGATTTTCGTTAAACCAGTCTTATTTCTTTTTGTTCGACTTTCCCAGTACTGCTTCGCTGGTTTTATGAATCGCATCCCTTAATTGTGTCCAGCCTTAATTTAATTTAATGATTGCTTTGAATGTATGAAAATGCTATTTAATAGGGCTACGTCATAGATTTATAGACAAGTAGGTTATAAGCATATGGGTAAACCATTATAATTCTTTTTACTAAAATTTACAGAATTATAGTTATTCAATAGAGTTTATTATTAATTAGTTATATGTATAGGGTGACCCAAAATCACAATATTATCGACTGATTTCAGAAAAACCTCTCAATAGAAAACAGAAATTTGGGATGTGGAAATAATCATTTGTTACGGTTTAAAATTTCACCCTGACTTAGTTTACTGATTTTGTTTATTTTTAAATAACGTATAGCTTTTGTAAATAAATAACATTTAATTATCTCAGTTAATAAATGTAAATACAATATTTGTTAATATTTTATCTAAAAATTCCACTTTCACCATCATTCTTGCCTTGTTCTTCTTGATTCTCATCAACTTGGCTGTATCTTCGATAACCTGAAATAAAATATTAATATTATATCAATTTCATTGTAATTCTAGTTTTCTTAGACTTTTTAGTATCTCTTTCTAAATTAAAAATAAAACTCCCTATCTGTTAATTAAAATGTTGATATTTTGGTAAAAGAAACACCCTGTGGAATATGTTAAAATAGTAAGAAATTTAAAAATCACTTTATCATCTAGATACATCCTTTCTCGATAATTTGTTTTTTGGTTCATCCCATTAGCTTCTTTTTGTTGGAGAGTTTAATTTTTACATTAAAACCATGACTTTGCTTTTAGTCCTAGTCAACATTTCCAGTAAGTTCTGGCCCCGAAGCAGGCCATCTTGACATAAGATTTGCTTCATTTAGCCTTCTTCTTATAGTCCGTTAGTTAATATGTAAATTCCTTAGGTACAATTCATTATAAATTTGAAAACCTGGCAAACGGCCGGCGGTTTCTTAGCGATAAACTTACAATAAGTCGATCGTCTCGATTAGAACTGCTCATACGAAGGTTCCTGGACGTCTAGATTGACGTCCTCATGGACGTGGTCATAATTCAAAAACCACTAAGTATACTCTATGGTATAAAGGTATTTTTGGAACCGGAATTTTATAGCAAATCCACTGCACAAATATAAAGCAGTTAATTTGAAAAACTAAAACTTATGTGTAAAAATATATTTGACTCACCCTGTATATCTATGAAAAATTTGGGAAATAATGTGAACTACCATTAAACACATATTTTTTAAAAGGTCTGGAGTGAAAATCTCAAATAGGAATCCTGATACAGAGCTTTTTCTGAACACGGAGCCATCTTGTATGTATGCATTTGTATATGTGTGTTTATTTAAATACTAAAGTGAAAGCAACGAATTTAAATGGGTAAACTTTGTAATATATCTTATTGACAATCAATGCAAAAAGTTTTATAAAAATTCGTTCACAGTAAATGAATTCCGAGGTTTGTATCCCATAAGGGCTTACGGCACTCCACTAGATTATTTATGATAATACTTTTTATGGAAGAAACCCTTGTAATATGTAAGTTAAAAGTATGAATTGAATTGAAAAATTGGATTAAATTATGAATAATATTACCGATATACAACTATCAGTTATCCTAACAGTGATTCTGAAACGAAACAACTTTTTGCTGTCGACCAGTGTATAAAACAAGTTTCAGAAAAATATTTTGCAAATTTGAATTTTATTTCTTATATAAATGTAAAACAACTACGTTTTTGCATCATTATAATAGTTAATCTTCTACATTTCAAATATTGACTGTGTACAAATATCCGGTTTGGTGATAATGCTAGATAAGTTAGTGGTGATCGAAAATAAAGGTATTTTTGAAAAGAAAAAAATCAGCCTAGACGTCGGCAAAGAGAAACCTTGGAAGGTTGAAGCGTCTACGACAGCGAAAAACTGTAGAAATTTTATAAGGGAAGTTGTAGATAATCTTGATCTTCAACCCAATCCGGAGAAACCAGTTATTGCATTATCGTTAGGTAAGTGCTACTTTATCAAAAAAATAGTACAAAGTACCGGGTGTTCCATTTTCGTGTGTTTTATGGGGTTTCTCGTTTATGAGTAGAGATACATAGATGCGGTTTTCACATCGTTGTACTACTTCTTTATGACCTAAGATGCTACGCACAGATTTGTCCTAGCCTCTTGCATTCTGAAATACAGAGTGAATTTGAAAATATTTCAGTTTGGACCCCCTCCGTATATTGATTATCTTATAACTTATCGAAAAGGTGAAAACTGACTTCCGTAGATTTTTTTACGTAGAATCCAGTGGCGGAACTAGTTTTTCAAATAGGACACCTTGCAATGCATATTATTTCTTTATTTTATTTACCTTGTTAAGGGCTTTCTAAAAATATAGTACTATAATTTATATTTGTTTTAATAAGTAAGGGTAAAATTCATTATTTAACTTTTTAACATAAATAAACCTAGTTTATTAGAGTAGTAGTAGAGTAATATTATTTTATTTTATTTAATTTAACCAATAACCAAATAATTTTGCTTCCCATAGTGTTATCTTCATAAACTGAAAATGAACTTGTACAGGGTGTCCCATTTTGGTTGAAATCATACGGTATCTCCGTTATTAATGAAGATAGAAGGGTGCGGTTTGCACAAACCTGTCTCACTTTTTTGTCAAACGGAAGATGCCGTAAACAAAATTTTCATAGCCCTCTTCGTTTCCGAGCTAAAGGGTCTTTTTGAAAATTTTGCAATTTGGGACACCTCCTGTATCTCTGTTATTGTTAAAGCTATCGAGAAGGTGAAAACTGTTTATTGTAGAACTTTTTACGTAGAATACAGTGGCGTAGTCTGTTTTTTTTACCAAAAAATATTTTTTAAAATATGAACTAAAGTTATGTTTTTTTAAATGGAACACCCTGTATATTTATAAATCATATGATCTGTCTTGCCATAAGCTTCTCAAAAATATATATCACTCTATATTTATTTTCACTATTTACTGCAATATTTAAAAGTTTTTATTAAAAGATCATATTTATTAGTAGGCCATGATTGATAATAAAAGAAACTAAAGAATTATTAAAAGTATACTGCTATCTGTCTCTTGTTTTATTTTGGGAGCCGCTAATAAATTCTTTATATATTAGGGAAACTTAACTCTCTACCGCTATTTGTAAATCTTGGAATACGTGTATACGTAAGAATAATCTATCGTATCGGAAATTTTAGATATTCCTTTAGCTAATTTACGTGAAATATACTTTCAGCAAGATGGGGAACATTCCCCCTCATAACTATGGAAATATTAGAATACTGTTAAATTATTATTTTTCAAATCAATGAATTGGAACCAATGAACGCATATTGATAGCCTCCTCGATTCCCGGATTTCGCCGTTCTCGATTTCTGATTTTGGGGATTTTTGAAATACGAAATATATCGTGGGCACTACAACAATGTCGAACACCTGAAAAATGCTTTAATAATTCAAGATTTAGATATTTGCAAACCCATCCCGTTATAAAAAAAAGAAAAATATATTCACAGATTCAGTGGTAACAGTTATTTCAAAAGTAAAATATATCAATCCCAAATAAATTTTAATATGTGTATGACTATTTTAGTAAATACCATTTTGATTTTTTGTTATTTATCACGGCCTACTAATAAGAAAATTATATATTTTAAATATTGCAGTAAATAGTGAAAATAAATATAAAGTGATATATATTTTTGAGAAGCTCGTAGCAAGACAGATCATATGATTTATAAATATACAGGGTGTTCCATTTGAAAAAACATAACTTTAGTTCATATTTTCAAAAATATTTTTTTGGTAGAAAAACAGACTACGCCACTGTATTCTACGTAAAAAGTTCTACAATAAGCAGTTTTCGCCTTCTCGATACCTTTAACAATAACAGAGATACAGAGGGTGTCCCAAATTGCAAAATTTTTGAAAAGACCCTGTAGCTCAGAAACGAAGAGGGCTATGAACATTTTGTTTGCAGCATCTTCCGTTTGACGAAAAAGTGGGACAGGTTTGTGCAAACCGCACCCTTCTATCTTCACTAATAACGGAGATACCCTATGACTTCAACCAAAATGGGACACACTGTACAGCTTTAAGATATCACGCTGTCAATGGGAGTTATTAATATTTTTGATGCACTTATCCAATAATGCTACACAGAGAAACTAGCATTGAATAGCAAGTAACCAAAATTTGACTTCGAATATACAGGGTGGCGCACCTCATTCGCCTCGGTTGATTATACGAAAACGGAAAGATGTAGAGACAAAATATTTTATGGGTATATGTTTGCTGGCGGAAGTAATGGATATGTTACTAGTGATTTTATTTTTTTTTATGCTCAAAAATATCCAAATAGGAATTTTCTTGACAAGCGTTCCTTTGAAAAACTACTTTTCATATTTCGCAGAGAGGGGTGTGGTATATGGAAAAACTATTAGACAGAAACCTGTCGTTGGAAGTGAAGAAAATGAATTTGCCTTAATTGGTTCTTTTATAGAGAATCCATTATTTCTATAAGTCATCTTAATATTAATCACTTCTTTGTTTTTCTTGATAAAATGATAAATACTTACTTATTAAACTGTTGTAGGTAAATTAAATAAAAGTAAACTGTTAGAAATTTAAATAAAGTCCATAAACTAATGTCGATTTTGAAAATAGCTACTAACTGTCACTAACAAATTGCCATGGCGACACCAGCCATCTTGATTGCCATTTTATTGAAAAATCGCTTTTTATTCAAAATCTGAGCAAGATAGGTATAGGAAACCCTAATATAGTTTGAAAGAGCATTTAAATCTTCTTCGACTTATTTAAAAAAATACATAGTGTTGTATTTGAAATAACAAAGTTTTTATGTAAAATAAATATTTAAAATAGATCAGCAATTTTTGATACCCCTGTATAAAAAATGTATACATTTAGGGATGCAAAAAACATTTTTATTATTAAACCCTTATAATAAATGCCTTATTTTATGCCCAAGAATCCAAAAAAATATATAAAATACTGGGTGTTCCATAAGAAAAAATATAACTTTGGTATAGATCATAGTTCTGACACACCCTGTACATTTGAAAATAATTTTATATTATGCACTTTGCCTCTCTACATATACCCATAAAAATGTGGTTTCTACATCTTTCCGTTTTCGTATAATCAAACGAGGCGAATGAGGTGCGCCACCCTCTATTATTTGATTGTTTTGATTACCTAATTTAAACCGACTGCTTATGTTAAAAAGTTAAATTTTTTACCATTTTTATGAAAATAAGTATAATGCGTCGGGCATCTGTAGCTCCTTAGTAGCTTTTATGAGCCACCAAGTTAAAATATTTTCCTGAAATACATCCTAGTATATACCTACTTTAGGCTTGTACTTAAACAAAATTCCCAAATTTTTTATTCTAAACTTGTATTTCAGGAAAATATTTTAACTTCAACAGGATGGCTCAAAAAAGCGTGAGTGGATCGGGATGATTTTTTTTAAATGGAGCACCCTGTATATTATTGCATTTTTGGCTTCCTTTCGGATCATATTACATAATCCTAAAATTTGAGTAAATATGTTTCAGTAGTTTCAGAGATATGCATAAATAAATAAATAAAATATATTTTTTAGTCTTTCTTTAAAAAATACGGGAACTGTCCTGAAATCAACTATATTAGGTATTTACTTTAGTAGGTCTGTATTTACTTTTCTATAAATATTGTATCTCAAATCATACAGGATGTTTAAAATTCTACGCCAAACTTTCTAAAATACAAAATAATTTTTCTTCGTTTTTTTTTAAATTTATTAAACGGAGAATTAAAAAATTAACATTTTTTGTATTTAGAGTATTTCAAAATTTTTAACAAAATTATTAAAAGTACAAGAACTGTCCTGAAATCAAAACTATATATTAGGTATTTACTTTAGATGGACTGTATTTACTTTGCTATAAATATTTTAATCTTAAATCATACAGGATGTTCTAAAATACACAATCATTTTTTTTCGTTATTTTAAAGGAACACCCTGTAGATTATTTTTTTATTAGATGGAGAATTAAAAAATGAACATTTTTTGAATTTAGAGTAGATATTTCAAAATTTTTAACGGTTTCACAGATACTCGAGATATTATTTCATATGGCTGTTTCAACGGTAAAATACGAGAGAAAAATCATTGGGTGGCTTTGATAAAAATTTGCTGGGGAAGGGAAAAATGCCATGTGGTATTATAACCGTGAATATCTGGGAAACCGTTAAATATTTTGAAATACTATAACAAAATTTTCATTTTTTAATTCTCTTAATGTATAATAATAATGATACGATATGTATATCATAATATAATGTATTCTCTCGTATACTAACATACCAAATCTCGTTTTTTTAAACTGAAAAAATAAAAAAGTTATAGGGGTGAGCCACTTTTCAGATGCACCCGGTATTGTCAATCACATCGCAAAAATTGATACTTTTGTGACGTTTGAGAAAAAAATTGTGCCTCTTTCACATATTAAAAAAACAAAAAAATATGACGGCAATTAAAACTAATAATAACCATCTATCAAAGAACGAAAACGAAATGATATTATTACTATACAGTATGTCTCCGGATGGTCTTTACAAGAGGGTTTCTTTTATTATTGCCTTTTTGAGAAAAAAATGTATTATTTTATTTTATGTGCACAGTAAGATGACATATAATTCGAAATGTCTGTTAATGCCAATAATAAAAAGAATGTATTGTTACGTTTTTCGTCGGTTCCGTGTGGATAGAAAGTCACAATTTATTTAAACACTATTTATTTAACACTAATTAACAAAAACAATAACGATAAAAGACTTATAGAACTATTTACAAACGATTTATAACTAAGAATTTATTTTGAATTTTAGCGCGTCAACTGCACTTGTATATTTATAACTGCCCCCTGTAGGCCACAGCCGCCGGCTTTTATACCGACAGGTAAAGAACTCTAGAATAGTCCATAGATCGTTAGGTGCGTAGAGAAGGTTTTCGAATGTTCTCGTATGTACTAGTCCATTCCAGTGGGACTCGATTCTTCTCGAACGAATGAATCATTACGGTGTCTATTCTTTAATGCGATGTTAAGGTCATCTGAGGGCGGGACATATAGTTAGGTTAGGTCGAGTCCACACGGGTCCGCAACAGTATAAAACATTCGAACGTTATGCGGACGAAGTCGCTGGAAAAATCTAGTTTTAAAATATGCGCTACCATTACGCTCATCTTTTTAAAAATATATTTGACTGAAACTATCCACGTGGAAGATGCTTGAAACTTACACTGTATCACCGTGTATACTAATCTGATGTAAATAAGTAATAACCGATCTTTAAGTTTTACTAACTTTAACTTTATATTCAGGTGATCCTACAATCTTTGGCAACCTCAAACCCTCCAAGGAAGCTATCGAAGCGGTAGTAGACATCTTGCAAGAAGGATCATGCAACGGTTATGCCCCCAGTGTCGGACACGAAGTGTCTCGTAAAGCTGTAGCTGAGTATCTCAGCTACGATGGGGTGAAGTACACGGCTCAGGATGTGATCCTTTGCAGTGGATGTTCGTCGTCTCTAGAGATCAGCATTACGGCTTTGGCCGATGGCACAAAAGGACAGAACATATTGGTGCCGAGGCCCGGGTTTGCCATCTATCGGTGAGTTTACTAACAACTATAGCAATGTCATTCTTTCAACAACTATAGCAATATCATTTTTTTGTAGTATAGTTCTTATCTAATGTGACCGTCATTTCAAAAACGTTCTGTCGTCGATGTTTACTTGCTTTAAAAACTCAATTGTTTTTCGAGCTGTACTTGCATTGTCTTGGTGGAGAATCATTCGCCTTCGAGGGTTGGTTTCTCGAAACTCAGCAAACTAATAGATATGTACCAATTAGCTGTACCAGTTCTTTGATCTTGCTGAGGAATTGTTGCTACATGATCCGATTTTGAGACGTTGCCACCAGTTTTTGGATGTTTCCAATGTTTTTGGAAACATTTTGAGAACGGATAACTTTTGTTGTTTTTGATTCATCTCGGAACGCCCAAACAGCCGATTGCAGTTTATTTTCGGGTTCATAAGAGTAAATTCAGGATTCGTCACCACTAACATTACTGTATATATTTTTGGAGTTTCCTCCGTTAAACCGGTGTACAGGGTGGGTCAAATTGGACGCTTTTAAAGGGCAACACTCTTTTCTATAGGAGATAGACGAAACCTAATATCAGTGTCAGGAGCTCAATTTTTGTCAAAAACATGATGGTGAAAACCGCACATCGATATCTGTTACCGTTTCGGAGTTACGGGGTGTTTTTCAAAAATTTGCATTTTTAAAAAATCGCTGTAAACTTTTTTGCTATAGAAAATGTATTTTTGTGAAAACATTTCCAAAACACATTTTTACGTAGAATTTAATGGTTTAAGTATATTTTTTTTAAATTAATAATTCACGAATTATCTACAGAAAATTTGATTTTTTATATGGGACATCCTGTATATTTTTAAATAATTGAAAAGAATTTAAAATTACCATTCCAAAAATATAGCATACTTGATATTTTGCTCGATTCCTCTTTGAGATACAGAGTTTATAAAAAATCGCCCGCTTTGAATAAGTAGGCTTTGAACGGCGCCGGCAAAAAATAATGCAAATGCAAAAAAATTCTAGATGTGAGCAGCAATTAAAACGAAAATAATATTTGCAATGAGATATGCAGAATTTGGTAAGAATTTAAACTATATTTAACAACATTAACACATTTAAACAATATCTAACAACAATAAAAATAAATAGCAAACCAAGACATGAGATTTTGCTACAGGTGTTCGACATATCAACCGTCTTCTGTTATGGACAGACGGGACCGTTTTTGACCATTTCTCGCGGAATTTATTAACTCAGTGGGGGTGAAAGATACCCTCGCTTAACCAATAAGTACTTCTAATTATTGTCTAGATTATACAAGCAATTTAAAAATAAGAACCTTTATTCTTCCGCAAAGATAAGAATCCATTTGATAGGCACTAAGTTCGGCGGCCTCGATAGCCAACGGCTGGGATCTTGGTTAGCTATTCAATTATTCTCGAAATTAGCTGCAAAAATTTGCTGATAACTTCAGCGTTCTGAGGCGGTGAATCGTCTTACTGGAAAAATATGTTTTCGAGTTCTTTAGGGGCAGACCAACAATAGGAGTCGAAAGCCTACTAGTTAAAAGTGGCAAACTTTTAAAAATTCGGTATTTCGAAGGGACTATAACAAAATTCATTGTGCTATATTTTTGGTTTGGCGAGAATTTTAAGTTCTTTTCACTTAATTTTAAAAATATACAGGGTGTCCAAAATAAAAAATCAATTTTTCTGTGGATAACTCTTAAATTATTGACTTAAAAAAATTATACTTAAACCATTAAATTCACGTAAAAGGGTGCTTTGGAAATGCTTTCAAAAAATACAAAATTTTCCATAGCAAAAAAGTTATAGCGATTTGTTAAAAAGGCACATTTTTGACAAATCAAAAATGTGCGGTTTTCAACATCATGTTTTTGATAGAAATTGAGCCCCAGACATCAATATTAGTTTTGGTCTATCTCCTATAGAAAAGGGCGTTTCACTTTAAAAGTGTCGAATTTGACACACCCTGTACAGTGTTTTGACATCCATTGACTCTAATTGCTTTCTATTCTTCCTATCCATTGTATTTTTTTTGATTTGTGGTCTTTTAAATGCCCAATGCTGCTTCAATTTCACGATAAGTGACATATCGATCTTCTTAGATCAGCTTACGTACAGCATCGACGTTTTCCTGGATGACTGCCGATCTTGGATCCGGTTGGTGAACCTGTTCTTGGATAGTCGCTAAATTAATCCGTTCACGTTTAAATTTTCCATACCAACAAGAAATTATCGAGTGATGTGGTGCTCCATTGCCAAAAACAGACCACAACTCACCAAGGCATTCTTGTTGAGACAACTCTCTTCAAAAATTATAAAAAATTATTGCGCCAAGATTTTCTCGGTTTAATTCCATCAACTTCAAAAATTAAGTTTAGATACAGCTTAAACGAAGCGGTTTAAAACTTTTGCATTAATTTAACTAAAGATGACAGTTGATGGGCACCTACCATGATACAAAGAAAACAAGGTATGATCGATAGCGGCTCCAATTTCATCCAGTTCGCGCATATCACCTGTGACGTCATTACGCCATACAAAAAATCCATATTGTTCAATTGCCACTAATAAAAAAAAACTAAAATAGGGAAGAATTATAACCTTAAAGTTATGTCAAATCATTGAGTTTGACATTGGAAAAGTAATTTTGAAATTCATTATGTGTCATCAGTTTGATGATTTGAAATTGGCGCGCGAAGTGTGCCGACCAATGGTGTCGATATCACCTGTGACGTAGTGGCCAACCTGCGCAATATCATACCTTGTTTTCTTTGTATTATGAACGCCTATTATATTTCTATATGCAGAATGTAAACGACAACCCCTGTAATAGTCTAAATAATTACTTATTCATATTTTACAAATAACTTTTAAATCCAAAAATTTTAATTTTTAGGACTTTAGCTGAAGCTATCGGTGTAAAGGTAAAGTTCTACAACCTTTTGCCAGAAAATAATTGGGAAGTTGATCTGCAGCATCTTGAAGATCAAATCGATAACGATACAGTGGCAGTTATTGTAAATAATCCTTCAAATCCTTGTGGATCAAACTATAGCGCTGAACACCTTGGGGATATTTTGAAAATTGCTTATCTGTAAGTTTTTATGTGTTTTTAGTTAATAACTCTAAATATATGTATATCACGTTTAAAAATATTCTTCCTAAATAGGTCTATAATGTGCCAATAAGTACTAAACGAATAGGACAAAAGTTGATTATTGAGTTTTTGTAAAAATGTTATGAGGAATAGGTATTGTTGTATTATTGCACGCGCTGTATAAAAACTCTTCATATCAAAGATAGTAACTAATATTTCTCGAAACAAGTCGTTTGAAATATACATAAAATCAATAAAAATAACAGAAATATGTTTGTAAAATGCCATTGTTTGGTTGGCAGAGTCTAAACAAATACTAGATTCTCAGTGGCTTTTATTTATAAACAAATTTGCCTAACCAACAATAACACTTAGTAGTAGTATTTTTATTATTGCAACACAATTTAGTAACCAAAAAAAACTTCAGTGCAATATTTGGTTTTAAAAAGTAAAAAAAAAGCCCAGAAAAATATCGTTTTACAGAGCTTTCAGATGGAGCGGACCGTCCGCGACTTCGAGCAAGTACCATGAGTTTATATGAACAACATGCGGACGAAGCATACGCGACCCATGTGAAATTGTTCATATATAAACTCATAGTACTCGCTCAGTCATACTGTACTGGCAAGTATCAAGAAAAATCGGAAAACTATACATTTGTAATTAAAACATGAAAAATATTCGGTGGGTTAGTCCTACTAGTAGGACACTTGTCCGGTTTTTTTCTTTATTTCCTTTGTTTTTTGGGTTTTAACGACGGAATGAAATTACTAATTGATTACGATTTTTTGTGTTTAGGCAAATTTGTTTACAAGGTAAAAGCCACAGAGAAACAAGTTTCAATTTATATTCTAACTCAGTGATAGATAACAAAAAATAAGTTTTCAGTAGGGAAATACCATAACCTAACCTAATCGAAAAAAAAACGGCGTCAATGACGGCTGCGGAATAACAATCGATTATAAATTTTGGCGGGGTCAAGCCCTAGACGTTATTTTCTAAGCCCGTACTCTTCTTTATTAGCCGACCATACCAATAGGTATGGTAGGCTATTAAGATCGGCAAAGAAAAGTTTTTTTAATTTCACTCAAAACGAGTTACTTGGGTCATAAATGACCTAAATACAAAATATTTTCATAGTGTCTGTCTGTCTGTCTGTCCGTCTGTAACACGATAATTCAAAAACCGCTAAAATGATTTTAACCAAATTTGGCACAAAAATACTGTGGCACACGAGAATCTGGCCATTAGATTTGGTGGGGGTGAGGGGTTGGTAAGGGGGTATGGGAGGGGGTTAAAAATTTAAAAAAATCGTAACTCCAAAATTACAGTAGCTAGCGAAACGCGGTTTTCAATTTAAGATTAGGAATAATATTTGCAACAAAATTTGTAATAACATCAAAATCAGTCAAAGTCGCAGTTTTTGAGATAAAAAAATTGGAAAAATTCATTTACTTTGAAACTAAAAGAACTGCCTACCAACTTTTATTAACATGTTTTAGTATGGGCGGCTATACGTGCCTCCCGGCGCCAATTTTTTTTAATGGTGCCCACTGCCAGATGACCTTAAGAAAGTTATAATTTATCTTTATATTCTTTATATTGAGTGATTTGTGTCTGGAAACATTCTATACTTTTTTAATCTTTCTATAATTAGCGTTAATTTTTATGTCAAGTTTAATTTTGATTTTTAATAAATGATGTCTTGAGATGACCTCGCCAAAACTATCATCGATTTTCATTGCTCAACCGTATTTGACGCCGTTTTTTAAACAGTTATTTTTATCAACTCGCATTATTATTTCCAGAAACAAGGTGCCAATTATTGCTGATGAAATATACGAAAGATTGGTTTTTCCAGGAAATAAGTTTGTTTCTATGGCATCCCTTCATTCCGGTGTACCGATATTGGTATGCGGAGGACTGGGAAAGAGATTCTTAGTACCTGGCTGGCGAATGGGTTGGATCGTGGTACACGACGAGACAAACGCCTTCGATTATATTCGAAAATCGTTGATTAGTTTGAGTCAAAGGATTATTGGAAGCAATACGTTGATTCAGGTAACGTATTTCCTTTTATCGTCCTCTCAAACTTTTCATTAATAACAAGATGACCCGGCTAACTTCGTACCGCGTAACAGTGAACTCATACTCATAACCAACTTTTAGATTGCCCACTCCCATGTTATTGTGGGGGCCGTATTTTAGCGGCATCTAGTAGGATAAGGAATAATTTTTTGCACATTAAACAAACCTGCCCCAAGTAACAAAATTCCGACTTCCGACTAGTTTTGACTACGTGCAACGTTGAAATTGGTACTTTTCCCTGCCCTATGCATACCCAAACTTCAAATTACGTAGCCAAAACGTCGCTACGGCGTTGCACTTAAACAGCTGTATATTTTGACCCTTAATAACGTTGGTAAACGTTGTAGGGCACAACGTTGTTAGAAGTGGGGTTTTATACCGTTGTCATTACGTCGCCAGAAGGCATGTTTATGGTACTACAGAATAACAAACGTAGTACAACATTGTGCAACGTACTTTTAAATTACGAGTGTAAGTACATACTAACTACAACGTAATACAACGTTTCATTAAACGACCCAAAGCAACTTCAAAATTATAACCAATTACTACGATCGATTACGGCCACGAGCGCGACGATATCGATTTTTGTTGTGGAAGCGGAACTATCTACACCTAACCTCAAAAAATTCTGTACTGTACTGTCACAGAGCAATTGGTTAGGTATTTTTTCTGTGGTACTTACTGTGTAAAGCGAAAAGAAGATGTATAGGAAAAAAGTATATAAATACTCTACAACTTTTTATAGAAAAAGGAAAAAGTATTTAGAAGAAAGTCAGCGAGCAAGTCAGTGTCCGAAAAATGAAGTGGAAATAACGAGTTTAGGTTCGTCATCCACATCCTCGCAATGTGCTACAAGTGGTAGCTTATCATCAATGGATACTATAGAAATAAATAACAGTACACCTGAAGCCCATACAACAGAGGAATACTATGAGAATAATGATCCTCCAGATGAGCAGTCAACTGAAATTCATCCTGACGTCCGTCCTTTCGACCAAAAAATAAAAATATTTTTAAGTCAGTGGAGTGTACAAAATAATATATCCCATTCAGCTGTAAACTAGCTTTTAAAAGGATTATCATCTTGCGCAACAATACTTCCTGTACGGCTTTTTTAACCATAAATAAATAGAAATAGTGATCTAATGTCAGCGATCTAATTAACGAGTATGTGACCACCACCACCAAATGATGACCCCAGCTTTCTTCTTTATTTTTCTTTGGTAAAAAAGAGCACTGTAAGAAGGAATTTTGATATTTACCTCCTAGATGTCGGTAGGGTTCAGAGGTCCTATTTCGTCAAAGCAGGTGTCAGTTTCTGAACCAAAGGTTAGCATAGGTGAGCCAAAGGTCGGTTACCGCACCTTATGCACTATATTGGTATTTTAAAGGTTGCCTTAGCTCCGCCATTTTAATACGATTTATCTTTTCGTGCGTTGTGGACGAATCGAATAAAATATCAGAAACCACAAAATACTGCGAATTTCGTTAAAAAACTGTATCTGTTAGGGTTGTAAGCTAATTTTCCTGATAGTTTTCGTATATTTGTCTCAAACTTAAACAAAAAAAAGTTAGGTTAACCAAGTAAACTATAATTTTAAGATTACAACTAGGAAACAAAAAAGGGGTTTTGCCATATTTCGAAGTATCATGGCCACTTTCAACAGTAAACTAATCTTCGTTGATGAATTTCATTTGCCGACATCTCAAAACTTTGCAGATTTGTCGAAGTTAAATTCACCTAGTTGTTTCTTAATGGAGCATAATATATTCCATTTCTAATTCATACATCATTCATTTTGGTTTCCCCATGTTTGAATATAGTAATATTTGACGAGGAATATTTTAAACTCTAACCCCAAAATATCGCGAATCGGCATGAAAAACAACTTTTAGCACACGACGTACTACGTCGTCAACGTTGGCGACGTTGTAACGACCCTAAAAACATCCACAATTTTGGTGCAAATATGGGTCGCTTAGACGTCGCTTCGACGTTGTACGGCAACGTTGGGGTGCTCCTGGCGACGTTGTGATTACGTTGAACAACGTAATTTTGCTACTTGGGGCATTACCGACATCATAAACCGCCTTTATTTGAATCGCAGTTCTTTCAATTTTTAGAGTCAAATTGCAACTATAAAGTTCTAGTTAAACCTAAGTTTTGTCTTAAATTAAAAGACAAAACTTAGGATTAACTAGAGCTAGTAGCTTAAATTAATTTCTATTGAGAATAATTAGTAAAACAACAAATATTTACATTAAAAAACTTTTATTTAATAATGATTAGACTTAAATATACATTAAAATATACTGTTCATTTCGAAATATTTAATACTGCATGTAAAAAAATACCGTATGATAAAAAAAACGGAGTCCAGTTGGCTGGGAAATGACGATCAATGACATATCTCATATAAATTTACATATAAAATGACAAATGACAGCGATCTTCATTTTATAGCCATCGCTGACGCCATTTTTTTTTCGATCATACGGGAGAAGTTTTATTTTTATCCGGTCTGGTGATAAAATTCTGCATATTATAGTATTAGGTACAAAGCTTTATTTACCTTTTGCTAAGTTGAATTCCAATAAAAAAAATCAAAAGTGTGAAATATTAGTATCATCAGCATACATAACTACATTATGTTAGAGTGGTAAATCAGCTGCATATATTAAAAATAACAGAGGCCTTAAGATGGAACTTGGAGGACCTGAACCCTGAACCTGATATAAATTTTTCCATCGGAGAGTACACCTAATCCAGCAACCCTTGCTTCTAAAAACTATACTAAGGGCTGGCAAAGGTTAGTCTTGGGTCGAGATTTCCGTATGTAAGAAGAGTACAATGCGTTTATAATGTACCGAACATGGAGAGGACAGTAAACACGTTTCCAAAGGTATGAAATAAACCGAGAAACTGTGCACATCGCTAAGAGACGTGGAAGGGGATATAGCAGATTTGTCGCAGCTGACCGGTCGACCCAATCAATACCTTTGTCAGTAATTAAAGTTCTAGGGAGAGGTGTACCTCATGCGTTCAGCTTCACGATTTAATTTCGTCTCGTGATACTTGATTTCTTTATTTATTAACGAGTCGTTGTAATTTTCCCTATAGCTTGATTTTTTTTAAGTGCAAGCTAGAAACATTTGCATTTTTGATAAAAATAAGTGGAATTGAGTGGGTGTTCGATAGTGGTCGCGCTATTAGATCTCTGAATTCAAAAATCGATATCTCGTAATCTATTAGAAATAATAGATTGTAGTTTTTTCAAGAACTTTGTTAATATTTCTGCTGTATTTTCTTTGAAGACAGTATGTGAAAATCTTTATCAATAAAAAAATTAGACGATTGCTGAAAATTGCTATGCTCTAAAAGTAAATAGATGGATTGTTTACAATTTTTGAATGGAAAAAACAACCTTATCGAATTTTTCTTATGTAAACATATTGTAAAATATCCGATCTTGAAAATAAAAAAAAGTTTCAATATCTAAAGTGGTTCTTGAGTTATGGCCTGTTATGTGTTAAAAAGTTGAGTTTTTAAATTATCGCGATTACTGACGTTTTCCCGTTATAAAAAAAATGACACCCTAACGATATCCTCATAATTCCATTTCAAGTGCTCAGAAACATTAGAAACCTAATGATACTAGTTATCTCATGAAAAAAAAAATCTTTCAAGAATAAGCGGTTTGCGATCGTGATTTTACTTTACTTGATAGGGAAAGGCGTATCGGCAACGCCGCAACAGCACACCGTCGCGCGTCGCGTCGGTGGGTCGCATTTCTCTCACTCCGACTTAATAAGATCCCTATGCGATTTACTTCCACACATGTAAATGCCGACCCAAAAGTAACAGTTGCCAGCACGGTATAAACTATTAACATATTAAATATCCGCTCCCATAAATAAATCTACCTGACCAATTTACTGTCGGAAGTGTTTTATATTTTAATTGACCATTAAAAGTATAATCTTCAGTTGTAAAATATCGATAAGCTTTAAAAATTTTCTCTGGTGCTATATTGTCTTCTATAAATTTGTTTCAGCTGCGTATCATCGAAATAACAAATTCGGGCAAACTACTTTTTGGATTCGGAATGCAATGATCTTTCTGTCCATTCTTTAACCACTTCGAAATACCACAAAGTGACGGCATGGTGATGGTGAATTTTATTTCAGGCAGAATAAAAATAGAAAGGAAAACACAACGGTGGCAAATCGTACATTCTTAGTAATAATAAACAGCACTAAAAATTATGAAACAAACTCAATAGTTTCCGATAAACACACTTCTTATTTAGAAACAGACATATAACACAAGTTAAAATTTACCTTTGTTTACCTCTTTTCTAAAATGGCTGAAAATGGCAAACTGAAGTGCAGGAAGATGGTTCCTCCTCCACGAAGTGTAGCATCATTGTACTCACGAGACCGAGTTCTTTCAAAACCTGTAATAAAAAATGCAGGTCCGTATTTAAAAAAGTTAATGTCCAACTTAATGTCCAAAAAATGTGTCTCACAAATTATTAGCTAATTTGAAAATCTAAAAATACTATAGCCCTAATAAAGTGTAAAATAAAAATTCACAGTCCTTTACAAAGATGCAACCGGGGGGCATTGAAAATGATGAATAAAAACGTAAAAATATGATTAGTGTTAATATGAGTGTATTACATACATATGTTTAAATAACGAACTTAACAAAAAACAACAGATTTAAAGATTCACTGAAAAAGTAGTAGTGTTAACATTAAATAACACATTATCAATAATAATTATGCGATCGCACCTATCCGTAAAACAGGCAAACAAAAAACCTCGAAAAAAACAGAATAACATACAAAACATCAGGTTAACATGATTTGAATTTTTTAACTGTTAAAGGCAAACCCCATTTAAACACAAAACTTTTTAATACCTACTACTGTATCTAAAAGACTTTTTTTAAAATTACTAAATTCTTAGCCACGCTTCTGTTTTTTTTTTTGGCTGTTGTGCGTCACGTCACAGATTAACAG